TCATTGTTTTCATTCCTCTTCCGTACGAATACCCACCCGGATCCTACTGGGCTCACATCTTTTGGGGAAAGTACGGGGTGGGACCAAAAACTTTTCTTTGATTAAGCGAGTTGAGCTCTGCCTCAATTGCCTGTTTCCACTTCAACCAGTCAGAGCGCTTCCGGCACTCGGTTATTGACTTTGGTTCTGGATCCAGATTATTTCGTGGAATATTACAGGCAACTGCATAGGTAAAAGTGTCGTCGACGACTATTAAATCTCTGTTATATGTTTCTCCTGTATCAACAAAATTTATGGTCGTTTCTATATTGACATCAACCAGATCATCGTCATTTCCCAAAATATTTTAATCTGGATGTTCCGCATTCCCAGTGTTCGTATTATTTAGAGCACGTGCAGGTTCATTGGGTTCTCCATCTTCGGGACGGTTAACATTTTTCTAGAGTGACTGAGATATTTTACCAATTCTCGTCTTCCGTGGATTTAAATCTTGTGCACCAAGTGGTCTCCCGCGCTTCTGGCGATGGGGAGTGTCAGTGTGCATACTTGGTCCCACGGGGACTTCAACTCTCGAAGGAGCATTCACAGCAGGGATATGGGACCTAGTCACTCCTCTGTTATCAGTAAAAGCATCTGGCAGGTTATTTGCTAAATTTTGCAAATTAATAATTTTCTGAACTTCTAGTTCAGTTTGACTAGTACGTGGGTCTAGATACTGAAGATCCTTTTCATCCCATGAGATTTCTCGGCATTTCGTTAAATAAGGTCTTTTATCTCCCCCTAATGCCGGGAAATGATCTTCATCAAAAATGCAGTCAGCGTACCTCGCGGTAAACTGATCTCCTGTCATGGGCTCTAGGTATTTAATGATGGAAGGAGATTCATAACCAACATATATACCTAGTTTTCGTTGAGGGCCCATGGAGGTACGATTTGTAGGTGGTATGGGGGTATAAACTGCACACCCAAATACACGCAGATGGGAAATGTTAGGTTCTACGCCACGTAGTAGTTGCAAGGGGGAATAATCATGATATGCACTAGGTCGGATTTGAATTAAAGCTGCAGCATGTAATACTGCGTGTCCCCAACATGAGACTGGTAAACCAAACTTCTGCAGTAATGGTCTAGCGATTAATTTAATACGCTTAATCAGAGACTCAGCCAAGCCATTCTGAGTATGGACATAAGGTACAGGATGCTCCACTTTGATGCCCAAGGCCATACAATAATCATTGAAAGCCGTTGATGTGAATTCTCCAGCATTATCCATTCTTATTGATTTAATGGGATAATCTGGGAATTGGGCATTCAACTCAATAATTTTCGCAACAAATTTAGCGAAAGCTTTGTTCCTCGTGGACAGTAGACTAACATGAGTCCAACGAGTGGAAGCATCAATAAGGACCATAAAATATCTAAATGGTCCAGAAGGTGGACTAATAGGTCCACAAATGTCGCCCTGCAATCTCTGCAGAAATATAGGCGATTCATGTCCAACCTTAGTACGCGACGGGCGTACAATATATTTACCTTTCGCACAAGCCACACATGTAAACATATTTGGCGAAAGTACCTGAGATCTAGACAGGTTATGTCCAGCAGAATTAGATATGATCCGGCCCATCATATTCTGCCCAGGATGACCCAGACGGTCATGCCACATTTGAAAAGAATGTGGATTTTTTAGTTTCATGGTAAGTGCCACAAATGAATCATTGGGTTGTATATAGGTATAATATAACCCAGAGGATAAAGAGGCAAGTTCCTCAATCTCCCGCTTTTGACCAGTGATCAACTGAGTCATGGTCAAGAACTCCTCTTTGTTCTTAGTCTTGGTTTCAATATGGAAACCATTTGAACGAATATCCTTGAAACTCAGCAAGGTTCGTTTAGATTGAGGGTACAACAAAGCATTTTCAATTAGTAACTTTGTACCCTTAGGGAGGATGATGGATGCTCTTCCGGAGCCCACTATTTGTACCTGATCATTAGAAATGGTAGTAATATTACTACTTGATTTGTTTAAGGTACGAAAAAACCTCATATCCGTTAGGATAGTATGCGTGGTTGCACTATCCACCAAACACAATGTTGGTTCATGCTCCATTGTGCGAACAACAACTTTGTAATGTTGTAAGATCTTCGGGGTTACTTCTCGAACAGTGGTTGTTCGTTACTAATTAACCAATGCCTTGGTACAAAAAATAGCATGTGAAGGTTAAAAAAAGAGGTGAACCATTCATCATGATAAAATAGAAAACATAGAAATCAAGTCATAAAACGATATGAAAAAAAAACATAAGTTCATAATCCAAAAAAAACGATACGAAAAATAGGTTCATAAACCAAGAGCATAAGACAGATCATTCTTGATCACCAAAGTCTTCAAGCTCATATTTTAAAGGATCATCATCATCATTCATCACTGCATTTGCTTCAGGCAAATCAGTGTTGGTGTGATGAGATTCCTTTCTTGACGGTTGCTTATCATTTTTCTTTTGCGTCATTTTGTAAGCTTCAACCAGATGCTTTGGTGTACGACATGTACGAGACCAGTGTCCCGTACATCCACACCGATAACATGTTTGTGACCTTGATGAACCTTGATCACTTTGTTTCTTATCTTGGGCCCGGGAGTCATTGTTGCCTTTGCCTTTACCACTTCGATTGTTTCGACCGTGACCTCTACCACGACCCTTTCCTCGACCCCTTCTAGAATTGCTTCCCTGGGCAATATGATGTGCTTCAGGCGCGGGGGCAGACCCAGCAGGTCGTGCATTATGGTTTTTCATCAACAACTGGTTGTGCTTCTCGGCCACAAGAAGTGCAGATATCAAATCAGAATGCTTTTCATAATTCTTTGCCCTGTACTACTGCTGGAGTACAAGGTTACTCGCATGAAAGGTAGACAGAGTCTTTTCAATTAAGTCTGTCTCTGAAACTTCTTGTTTGCAGAGCTTTAGTTGCGAGACTATCTTATGAAGGGCCGAGTTGTAGTCAATAACTGACTTATAGTCCTGAAACCTCAGGTGAAGCCAGTCAAATTGGGCTTGAGGGAGGACAATCGATGACTGCTGGTCAAAGCGGTCCTTCAGGGACTCCCATAATGCCAAAGGGTCCTTTTCAGTCAAGTATTCATTTTTCAGGTCGTGGTTCAAGTGGTGACGTAAGAAAATGAGAGTCTGCGCCTTCTGGGCGTTTGTACACTGTGACTCAGCAACAATGGTTTGGCTTAGTTCTTTAGACGCGAGATGAATCTCGATGTCTAAAACCCAAGTCAAATAGTTGCTACCGTCAAGTGCGAGCTCATTAAATTCTCTTTTGGCGATAGAAGACATGATCTACAAAACATATATCGTATGGTTTCATATACATTCATAAAATCATATGTTCTCATAGCAAAATAAGGAATTTAATAGGATCTCTAGATGCAAAGCAAACTTCAAGAGATGAAATTGAAAGGTAAAAACTGAAAAACAAATTGACCTTTCAGATTCATGCAAGAGGGAAACTTCCGTATTGAAGCATAGCAACCTTATTAATAACATGCTCATATTGCAGTAATAAATCACAAAATAACCATGATTAACATAATTTAACAATAGCATCTATGCAATTTAATTTGGATGCTCTTATGCGCATCATACATTATCAATACATTATATTGTGTACGCACATTACATTATCAAAATTCATGTGTACAATGCAAAAAATGAATTTTGAATATGAATGAATAAAGAAAGTAAATTCTTAGAGATAAAAATAATAATAATAATAATAAAAGACAATACGTATAGAAATCTATTCTTGCTATGTATATGTAATCAATTCTTCCATCATACAATACTTAATCAAGAGGGACAAGACAAGACAATTTTTTTTTTTTTTTAAATGTACGAACTGTGCACACACTGTAGAAGCAAAATCACATTTGTTTTTCACAGAAGCAAAATAAAATAGAAATATATATATATATATATATATATTACAAAATTTCGATTATGACATACATCCAAAATTTTGATTATAACATACATCCAAATAATTCATTTATGACATGCATCCAAAAAGATTTAGAAAAAAAAAAACAGTTTATCTAAAGAAACAATCCATTTTAATTGTAATTGCTATTCGAAAACAAAATTAATGAACCATATTCTATTTTCACAAAGAGAAGGAATTAAAACTCTCTAGATGCAAGATTTTCACAAAATATATAAATATCTATTTTTTTTTTTGGAAAATATATACAATCAGATAGTGGATTATATACACACATTATTTATCATATGAAAGTAAATTTCAAGAATACAAAGGATCAAATATAATCATTATGAGCCAAATATGCAGTACGTACATTTCTTCCGAAGAGACAAAGATTTTAGATTTCCTTATTCAAGAATTTGCAGGCATATATACAAACTATGCGTACATATACAATATCATACTTATCTAGACAATATAATATAATATATTAGGAAGATAACCAGGCATATTGTGTTCATATATTTCATTCAATTCGCAGGATATAGAATTGGAAAAACATATTCATGATTAGCAACATTGTTCATTCCAGCATGTATATTTGAACAAATAAACATGGCAGAATATTTATATGCATTTTTGAATAAAATATTGTATGCAATATTTTCAATTTATGTTATAAAGGATACGCATAGCATTTACAGACAATGCATATAATTCAATCATACAGAGTACATATTTTATTAACAACAAATATGCACTTTGTAAGAAAAGTAATGTATAAAGCATACCGTTCACCGAAGAGCGTGCTTGATAACGTGTTAAGTTTTGGCCTATTCACTCGTTAGTCCCCGCGTGGTGCTTGCACAATTATACACCCGGAATTGCGTATATATATATATATATATATGTATGTGTGTTTGTATATGTAAAGAGAAGAAAAATGAGGAGGAGAAGAACACCAAGTTATAGTATAACCATCATGTAAGTGTGTCCATTTCATTCATCTTCACTCACTTTATATAGTGGTCATATACAACCTTTCAAGTACACAACATCAATACATGATTAAATGATAAGCAAATGAAAGGTCTAAATAGTTTAATGGCCATAAATATAAATATTTACAACAATTATTATATTTTTAATACATTTTAACACATTCATTTTAAAAATACATGGATCAACAAATAGAATTAAAAAAAAAAAAAAATTAGAATGAAAGACTCAAAAAGGTCTCTTCTGTCGTGATTACTTTCCGTTGGGCAGAAGCAGAATTCAGATCCCAACAGAACAGAAAAGAACAGAACAGACCTCATTTGTTTGCAAAGAGGAAAAAGGAAGTGAATGAGTTTAAAGTAGCAGTATCAGTGTACGTATACAACGTTTGAGTCTGATTGTTGTTTTGTTTGTTTCCCACGATCCATATACAAATAAATAAATACACAAAATCCTCAAATTGATGTGTTTTTTGGGGCTGGCATTATCAAACAAAGATGGGTTTGATTTCGGGGACGCTGTTGGGCATTATGTTCGGGATCGGGTTGATGGCGATTTGGCGCCATGTAATGAGATACCGCAGCACCAAACGTATCGCCAAGGTTTCTTTCTTTCTTAAATGTTTTTTGTTTTCATCGTTTCCCAGAAATTTGAGCATTTCCAACGTTGTTCATTTATTTTCTTCACAGGCAGTTGACGTCAAACTAATGGGTAGCCTAAACAGGGATGATCTCAAGAAAATCTGCGGTGATAATTTTCCTGAATGGGTATCATTCCCTGTCTATGAGCAGGTGCACTTCCTTCTTTACTTCATGCACTCTTATATTTTCTGCAATCAATAATTTGTTTATTTGATTTTTTTGTGTTTAATACTACTTTTGAATGAGTTTCTAAGTATATAAATTTTATTATGAAAAAATTAGTTGTAAATAACTTACTTCAGTCAAACCTTTTTAACCGAACCAGACACATAGAATGGGACGAAGGGAGTATAACATTGACTTTAATGATGGTATGTATGTTACATTTGATTTGATGTTATGTTTGTGGCTCTCATGTTGTCTCACTTTGTCAGGTGAAATGGTTGAACAAACAACTGAGTAAGCTGTGGCCCTTTGTTGCTGATGTAAGAGTTATTATCATGTGATGTTTAATTAGTTAGATTAGCGAATTATGCGTTAGTTTTCTGCTTGTGTGATTCACTAAACCAACGATATATTATTGTTTGGACGTGAGATTATCTGCAGGCGGCTGAGGCTGTTATAAGAGAGTCTGTTGAACCTTTGTTAGAAGAATATCGCCCTCCCGGGATTAATTTGAAGTTCAGCAAACTGTCCCTTGGAACTGTGGCACCAAAGATTGAAGGTAGTGGATTTCGTGTTGAGCATATAATATAATATATAATCCGGTCCAACTATCAGTTTAAGCTTTTAGTTAAGATGCTTCAATTTTTGTTGGTAAATTGATACAGGTATTCGTGTTCAGAGCCTTAAAAAGGGTCAAATTACTATGGATGTTGACTTCCGATGGGGTGGAGATCCCAGTATCATTCTAGCTGTTGAAGCTGCACTAGTTGCTTCTTTGCCCATTCAGGTCCGTGGCTCGCTCCAGTGTCTCATTCATCTACTCCTAGTTTTCTTTTTAGTTTTATATATATATTCTGAGCTAATCATTCGCTCGCGCTTTTAATTTGGTGACAGTTGAAAGACCTTCAAGTCTTCACAGTTATTCGTGTTATCTTCCAACTTGCTGACGAAATTCCTTGCATATCTGCTGTTGTTGTTGCTTTACTTGCCGAGGTATATTTTTTATGATGATGCTTGACAATATTGTTTATTCCCCGTTTTCTGGGATTTGTTCTTATGAACTGCCTATGTGTGGGATTTTGTTTTTCCACATTCTTGATTCTAACATTTTCTTCAATTCCATATAAAACATTTCGACTTTTTCAAACGTTCTACGTGATTGGTGCAATTAAACTCCTATAATATATGAGAATGACTAATAAATACCTTCTCTGTTCAATCAGCCAAAGCCAAGAATCGATTATGTATTGAAGGCTGTCGGTGGAAGTTTAACCGCCATTCCTGGACTTTCAGATATGATAGATGTAAGTTTCGATATGATCTCTGCTTAGGCATTTCTTGCTTGATATCCCCTGCCCGCCCGGTAGACTGACCACCAATATTATTGTTTCATAGGTTACTGTGAATTCTATTGTCACGGATACGCTACAATGGCCCCATAGGATTGTTGTTCCAATTGGTGGTTTACCTGTGGATACAAGGTAACTCCTAATTTCCTCGTTTCATCTCTTCTTTCATCTTAAAACTATTCTGATTTGATGCAGTGATTTGGAGCTTAAGCCACAGGCGAAGGTTACGATAACGATAATCAAGGCAAATGACTTAAAGAACAGGGAAGTGATTGGAAAATCTGATCCGTATGCAATTGTATATATCCGTCCACTGTTCAAGGTTAAAACAAAAACTATCGATGACAACCTTAACCCTGTTTGGAATGAGACATTTGAGTTGATTGCAGAAGACAAGGAGACACAAGCTGTTATCCTCGAGGTTTGAATCATACACTCATCTTTGTTGGAATCAAAATCCCACTTTGCCCAAACTACTAAATGCTCTTATATATTGTTGCCTGTTGGAAGTTCCTTGCTAGTGCTTGTTGCCAAGTAAAAGAGGTCACATGGCTGACTATGTTTGGTTCAATTTTGGGATGACGAGGGAAACCTGCAGTCACTACCTGAGGGTAAATCTCACCCTGTGACCTTAGCCGGCAAAGGACCACAAAGAAGTAAACCAGCTTAGGTTGCCCACCTGAGGCTGAGGGTAAATCTCGCCTTGTGACCTTAGCCAGCAAAGGACCACAAGGAAGTAAACCAGCTTAGGTTGTCCATAGTTGACCGGCTCAAACTGCATTCGAACTCATGACCTTGTGACTACAAGTATCGATCTTTAGCCAACTTGGTTGGGGTTCAATTTTGTATTGGTATGAAATTGAGCAAGAAACCGCCGCCTTCTTTTTAAGAATATGGGTAAAATGCGGGTCCTTGATTGATGTGAGGGTGCATTGTTAACAATCAAAATCCCTTTGAACAGGTTTTTGATGAAGATGTTGGGCAAGATGAGCTAATGGGTGTTGCAAAGTTACCTCTGAATGAGCTGGTACCTGAGACTTCCAAACAACATGAATTGAGACTGCTGCCAAAACTTGACATGTTTAAAGTCAAAGACAAGAAGGACAGAGGGACCATTACAATTAAGGTTACATACATGGTCTCTGTACTTTTAACTGCCTATCAGAGTGGCATTTCATTTTTCTTACTCCACTACTAATTACTACCTATATATATATGTGGACAAATATGATTCTTCCGTCTAGGTGGTCAAAGGCTAAAAATCAATGAAAAATGGAAAAAAATGCTGACATTTCTGTAATTACGATTGTGCATTTAGAAATGCTTGACAGTGAATTTGGAAATGCTTTGAGTGCATGGAAGGCACTACCTGATTCTCTTCACCTTCCTCCTCCATGTCATCACAAGAGTTTCTAAATGGGCTGTCAAGCATTTTCAAATGCACAATCGTAATTACAGAAATGCCACCTTGCCTTTGATCATCCGAAGATATTTATCCGCAATTCTCACTTGGGGTTGTTCTCATTTGATCCTGATTCTATATATTCGGGGGCATGTGTGTATATGTATATTCGCATTTGTGAATTAGGAAATAGTTGTTCCAATATGGTGATCATGAATTCCCAACGTCAGGTGTTGTACCACGAATTCAGCAAGCAAGAGCAGCTAGCTGCCATGGAGTATGAGAATAGGACCCTGGAAGCGCGAAAAAAGCAGAGAGAAGAAGGTACGATTGGGAACGGAAGGGATGCCATGGATGGGGCAGGATCCGCTGTTGGTACAGGAGCGGAGGTTGTGGGGAGTGGCATGAGTGCGGGCATTGGAGCGACTGGAAGTGGGAAGGGAGCAGTGAGCAGTGGGCTTAGCAAAGCCGGTAAGTTTGTTGGTAGGACATTTACCGGGCATTCCATTTCCATCCATCCCCATTCTAAGAGCCACCGGCGTGAAAATTCCTCCCCAACATTGAACTCTGCTCGTGAAGGTGGCGGTGGTGGTGGTGGTGGTAATGGTGATGCAAAGCCAGTTTAGACTATAACGCTCTAGACTTGGACTTTCACATCAATTTTTTTTGACAGATTGCCGTTCGATATGCCAGTTTAGTTGTCCATGGACCAAATTTGGTGTCTAAAGGAAAACCTTAATTATGAGTGTAGTGATGAAACATAAGCTTTGATGTTCTAATCAATCGAATTTGGTCTGTATAGCCTTGTTAAAAAATAATGATGTACATTCTTATCCTTTCCCTTTCTTCACAAAATTTGATTACAGTGTACACACATTGTAGATTACAGATCTTGATAGACAATCCTAAATTCCTTTGCCACTATATAATGTGAAAAATATTCCCTTCTTCATGTATGGCATTACAAGAATACTGTTGATTTCAGTGGAGCCTCTTCAGTGCCTTAGCTTAGCTAAGTCTGTTAGACTGTTGGATGGTAATCACAAGGTTTCAAGTTCAACTCACAGTGAGAATATCTTATTGGCCTTCTTATAAGCAATCTAGCCTCATTGTGGTTCTTTATCGATTAGGATCACAAACCGGAATTTACAGGTTTCTCTGGTTATCCAAAAATCATGTTTTGTAGGATGTGATTTCATCATTTTTGCTTTGTTAGACGTAAAAAAACATGGGGTTTCAACTTTAACAAGTACAATGCATAGTTCAAGTTGGTAGTGCTGCGGAGAAAGCGAAGATTAATACGTTGTTGCGGCCTGCGGGAAGAAGATTGTGTTACGGAGGCATTCACTAATTTAAAATAATAATAATAATAATAATAATAATAATAATAATAATAATAATAATAATAATAGAGGAAATATCAGTTTTAGTCCCTCGATTATTATACCTTTATCAATTTTAGTCATTGACTATTAAAATTTAGAATAAAAGTCAAATAGGCCACCCAAATACCAAATTGCAAATCAAATTGCAATTAGGCCATCGAACTCAAAAAAGATGCAATTGGGTTCCTGAACAAGGGGTGTTCAATTGGGTTCGGTGAACGGTTAACCGAACCGAATTAACCGAAGTTTGCTCTACCGAATTCACCAAATCAAATTTTTTTTCCGTTAATCGGTCGGTATATATATATATATATATATATATATATATATATATATATATATATATATATATATATATATATATATATATATTAAAAACTTCGGTTAACCGATCTTTCGAACCGAATTAACCGTTAACCGAAGTTTTAAAATTTCTTTAACCATTAACTGAACCGAAAAAGTTCGGTTCGAAAACGGTTAACGAACTTTGTCGGTTCGGTTGGTTAACCGAAAATTATCCCAAGTTTGCACACCCCTATTGAACAACACAAAATCATGCAACTAGGTCCAAAATGAGTTGTTTACCTGAAATGGCGGTTACTGATGATTTTAAAATAATTTTAAATAAAATAATTAATTAATTGAAAAAAAAAACTAGAATTGCCGGAGACGAATCATCTCTGGCAGACTTCGTCTCCATGGCCGCAGACGAAGACCTTCGTCACCATGGCGATTTATATTCGCAATTTTTTAAAGTAGTAAATTTTAATTATCGTATTTGAAAACTATAGAGATGAATAAAATTTATATTTTGTTTATTAATAATGTAAATAATTTTGATATAATTTATACTTTGTTTTTACAATAAATAAATAAAATATCTATAATACTAATATAGTACCCGGTCACATATATTGGCGCGTGTGCGGACCTATATATATATATATATATATATATATATATATATATATATATATATATATATATATATATATATATATATATATATATATATACATACATACAATCACATATATGATTTACTATTCATAGAAATTTAATTAAAATATAATCAACAATTAAAGTAATTATATAATGATTTTAATAAAATGATAATTAGAGAATAGGAAAAAGATATCGATCATAGATAATTAGATATAGGTGTATGATAATAATGATAGAATTCTGAAAGTTTTAGAATTAAATAGTAACAGTGTTATAAAGGTATAATGGTATTTTAGTCTAACAAGAATGTAGTAGGGACAATTTTGTCCATTACAATTGGAGTGTACAACATTTAATAAAAAAAATGTATATCTTTATTAACATACAAATGTAAATATTGACATGAATGTGCCTATAGCTTAATGGGTAAAGCTTTTGATTTATAATTTGGTGGTCAAGGGTTCAAATCTTACTTTAGACATTTAATACATTGTATATATTTATTTAAAAAAAAAAACTGATATTGTATATATTTATTATTAAAAAAAAAATCGATCGGTTATTCGGTTCAGTTCGGATAAACCGAACCGATCGAGTTACCTAAACTAAGTACCAAACCGATCGGGTTACCTAAACTGAGTACCGATCGGTACATCGGTCTGGGCACTAGTTTGTACTAACTTAACTGAGTACCGAAACGATCGGGTTACCTAAACTGAGTGCCGATCGGTACTTCGGTCTGGGCATTAGTTTGTACTAACTTTGGAATTGAACTAATAGTCATGTAGGCTAAGTTAAGCCTACTTTCTAAAAATATTTTCCAACATTATATTTTGTCATTGACCGAGAAGTGAAGCGTACTTCTTAGTTCCGAGAAGTGCCAGAAACACCTCTATGACCTAGAAGTGCACTATCGGCCGTGTGACTGAGAAGTAAACTTACCTTCCGGTCATAGACGAGATTTTACTTTTCGACTCAGCTGAGAAATTTACAGGAAAAACTTACCTTTCGGTCCAACATTTTCCTACATTTTGCACTCTTTGTGTGTCTAAGCTCAAAATAATAATAATAATAATAACAATAATAATAATAATAATAATAATAATAATAATGTTAGTTTCAATGATAAAAATAATATTTAATGTGATACATAGTGATTATTGAGTTTTTAGTATGATTATATATATATATATATATATATATATATATATATATATATATATATATATATATATATTACACACACACAGAATGATAAAAATAAAAAGTATATGAGTATTTATGAAATTTATGAAACTTATTGTAAAACTTGATAGGAATAGAGGAAAAGTTTGTATGTTCAGACAGAGGGAAAAAGTCTGTAGAGAAAGTTAAAAATTTTGAGGTTGGATTGTGTGATTTTAACTATTTATATTTGCGATAAAAAATCTACAAAAATTCTATTTTGATAGAGTCTAAAAAAATGAAAATAAACAAAAATGAAATAAACAAAAGATTTTATTTTTTTTCAAAATGGTCCCTCGACTATTTCTCAATATATATTAGGCGTACAATAGGTAAACGGACGAAAATTCCTTCTATTTTAACACTGATTAGACGAAATCACGAAATATGTAACAAATGACTGAATTGGGTGAGTTTTTGAAAGTTGAGGGACCACATTTGGTGCGATTGAAAGTCGAAATGTAAAATAGAGAATGAGCAATAGTCGAGGGACCATTTTGGGAAAAAACTCAAAATGAAACTACAAATTAGAGCTCATGGAATAATGTATAGGGAAAAGGGTCAAATACACCCTCCAACTTTAGATAAGAAGTCAATTAGATCCTCAAACATTTGAAAGTTGCAATTAGACACATTAACATATTAATTTAGTACATTAAGGCCCAAAACCTTAATTGTAACCTGCAATAGCAGGTAAATAATTCACCGGCGGAACTCCGACGACATTCCGGCAAAGGCGTGACCAGCAAGTAGCCGGAAAAGGCGACCAGTTCGCCTTCTCCGTTGCTAGAGATGGCGACCAACCATCTCCGTCGATTGGAGATGGCAACCAAACTGATTGCCATCTCCAACGAAGGAGAAAGCGACAGGTTCGGCGGGCAGAAATGTGGTTCGATAGCGAAATCTGGCGGTGTAGAGTTTCGTTCGGCGTTAAATTCCTTCACAGCAAATTATTTCTATAATCTCAGTAACTTTTTCTTCAGCGGCATTGATTCTGGGCTGAGGAGCGATTTTCTGGATTAGGCAGCAAATTCTCTGGTCGACAGCTTCGTAACTCCAGCAAGGCAGCAGTAATCTCTCCAATTGGGCAGCACATGTAATATGGTGCTCCTCCTTTTACATATTGTTTTTTCCTTTATTCAATTGGTGTGGATTAGCTAATATGTTACTATTCAATTAGCAATTTTCGAATTGCTAACTTGCTGTGATGATTACGAACAGAGCTTTCAATTTCATTTGGTGCTGTTGAGTAATTAGCTTAGTTTAATTTGAATTGGTAATAATTGTTTAGATGATTTGTATCTTCACCGTACTTGGAATCATCATGTTTGGCTAAGCATGGTTGCCTTTGCCGGAATGTCGCCGGAGTTCCGCCGGTGAATTATTTACCTGCTATTGTAGGTTACATTTAGGGTTTTGGGTCTTAATGCACTAAATGAATATGTTAATGTTTCTAATTGCAACTTTCAAAAGTTTGAGGGCCTAATTGACTTCTTACATAAAGTTGGAGGGTGTATTTGACCCTCTTCCCTAATGTATATTGTCAAAGGAATAAGGGTCAAATAGGCCACTCAACTGCGCATTCAATTGCAATTAGGCCATCAAACTAAAAAAGAATGCAATTGGATCTCTGAACAACACAATCTCATGCAATTCTATCCAAAAATAACCTGTTTACCTGGAGATCCGGTTACCAAATTTAAAAATATATTTTTTAATAATTTTAAATTAAAAAAAATCTATAAAAAAAAAAAAAAAAAAAAAAAAAAAAAACCTACATCGTCTCCGCCGGAGACGAAGAAGACTTCTTCATTTTCGGCGGAGACGAAGGGATCTTCGTCTCAGGCCGTCTCCCTGGCCGGGGAAACGGCCTGAGACGAAAGTGGCTTCGTCTCAGGCCGTCTCCATGGCCGGGGAGACGGCCCAAGACGAAGCTGCCACTTCGTCTCCGGCGAAGACGAAGTGGCAGGCAACTCTCAGGCCGTCTCCATGGCCGGGGAGACGGCCCAAGACGAAGCAACCCCTTCGTCTCCGCCGGAGACGAAGAAGTTCTTTGTCTCCGGCGGAAACGAATGGTTTTTTTTTTTTTTTGTATTTTTTTAATTTAAATTTAAATTATTATTTAAAACTATTTAAAAAATATTTTAAAAATTGGGTAACCACCTTCCAGGTACACAAGTCAATTTGGATTGAATTGCATGCATTTGCGTTGTTCAGGGACCCGATTGCATTCTCTTTGAGTTTGATGGCCCAATTGTAATTTGGTGCGCAGTTGAGTGGTCTATTTGACCCTTATTCCTATTGTCAAATGAAACTGTTGTAGAATTAAAATGATACTTTTGGTATTGCTATAATGAAACTAGTGTGTGTGGAAAATGAAACTGTAAAACAGAGAAATATTGTCAAATGAAACTAAAATGTAATTAGAATGATACTTACTTCATGGGATGATCCACAGTAAAATTTGCACTCAATGTGGCCTATATACTATACCGCGCCGTGCGACTTGTGCTGGCCCAAGTATAGTAACATTTGGACCATGCATGGGCCAACTCATGTGGGTACAAACATGGGGTTAAAGACTGGAATGGACAGAAAATAATATTTGTTGATAAAAATGGAAAGATTTAAAATCTTGAAATAGAATGAGAAATGAACGTTTGGGAGATGCGTTTGATGTTAGAAACGCATTTTCCACATGCGTTTGTTATTTTTATTTTTTGACCCATGTGAGACTTGCGTCTGATGTATAAAAATACATCGGACGCATGTCCCACATGCATCTCACCGTAGGTATACTCTCCCATCATTGTTGCTTCATCCCATCGTCCATGGTAGCCTGCGTCGCCATCTGAAGCTTGTGCTTCATCGCCATCTGAATCTTTGAAAACAGTATTAAAAAGCCAGCATCTTCTTCATCCTCACCAGAGTTTTCGCCGTGAAAATCTCCTTGACCCTGTTTGGTAAATGGCTGTTAGCTGATTGGGTTAATTAGAGGGTATAACTAGTTGATAACATTAGCTGATTGTTGAAAAGTGTTTGGCAAATTAGCTGTTAGTTGTTTGGTATAATTTCCTTTCTCAAAAAGCTAATTGAAAAAAGTGTTTTGAACAGCTTTTTGAATTTTAGCATTTTGGAGTTACAAAAAGCTAATTAACCAAACACTTATATTGATTTTTTAACCAAATAAAAAAGCTAATAGTGATCAAATAAGCCAAAATTGGCCTATATGCTAACTATTTTACCAAACAGGGCCCTTATGAATTTGTTGTCATTAGGCCAAACCGGTGACTACCATCGTGAGACAATGTCCACGCTTCAGGCTGGATTGCAGACAAATTATTGTACGCATCTGGCTGGGGTTGTTGTATGCTTTGCATTGATGAACAGAATCTCCTTTTGCTAACGGCAGTATCGGCTTCCCACACTAGGTCTTTTAAACGAGAATTTTTGAACCTGGTAATCACATTACTTCTAATGTGTCTCAAACAGAAGCGACGCTTCACCCGAGAACTTCGTAGTTGAGGCAAGCTGTTAAATGCCGCGTTTATCCCGACATAACTATCTGAAATGATGCAAACTGAAGGAATACTGGAAAAGACATGCGTTGCAACCAGATTGAGAAACCAAGTCCAGCTGTCTCCGTTTTCAGAATCAACAATGGAGTACGCCAGCGGGTATATTTCCCTATTAGCGTTTCTTCTGACCGCTAATAGGAGATGACCTTTATACTTGTCGTAAAGGTGTGTACCGTCAACACTAATAACAGGTAGGCAAAATTGTAAACCGGCGATCGCTGGCTTAAAAGCCTAGAAAACATACAAAAAATGCCCAAACGGCGGACTACTATCGGATTTGTTGACTTTTATTTCAACAATCATACATGGGTTCGAACTCTTCAACGTTTGCAAAAATTTTGGGAGCTTAGTGTACAATTGTTCAAACTTCCGTATATTTTTTCTACCGTTTTCTGACGGGCGCTCCATCCTTTTTTGTACGTAATGTCCAACCCGTAGCGTTGTTTCACATAAGCTCGGATGTGTTTTATTTTGTAATCTGGTTCAGCGGCGAGCCGGCGATTTTTGGATAGATCAAATCGGCAATTAGTGCACTTGTGCACATTTTGTCCGAACCTCCCTGGTGGAAATCATTTCTGCATGTGTGTGGTTTTTTGAACTTGTGATAATCCGTTCGTCTGTGATCCCTTTTAAGTTTTTTTTTTTTTTTTTTTTGCAGACAATGACCAATTACATGGGGGTTCTGTACTTTCTGAATTTCGGTACACAACATGCCATGACTTGGCTTTTTTGAACACAGGACGGAATTCCCTTCTATGGGCTATACTGTACATTTGAACTGCTGCTTTGAGCTGTTGGAAACAAGAGAAAACCATCCCGTGTTTGATCTCATTTGTTGATGGGTCGTACGAGATCATTTGTTCATCGTCCTGTTCTGAAAAACCGGTATTAAATGATACCTGAGCGTGATAGTAAGGAATTTCGGAATCAGGAACCATTTGAACGCGGCTTTGATTATTTCCCAAATTTTGGTGTGTTTGTGCAAATGAATCGAAATCCATTGGGAAACTTGCTATTGTATTTTCCTCATCATCACCACTATCGGAGTGATGAGATAATATCTGTTTAGGTTCTGCTTCTGTTTCGTCAAAATCTTGGAATGCACGTGATGTCGATGGTCCAGCTGCAGATGGTAATGTCGTTGCCATTGATGGTCCAGCTGCAGATGGCAATGTCGTTGCCATTGATGCTCCAGCAGCATATGCTTCTCCATGGTGAGACTGTTGTTGTTCAATGTTGGTGGCAAAGTTACTGAAATCTACATAAGGTTCGTATGCTTCATTCAATATTGGGTGAACGTAAACGTGTAGATGATCCACTCCGGAAGATTCATGAACAAAACACTGCCACTCTTGCGCGTTATGAATATGATATGGAATCATGTGTGTCATACCCATACCATCTACATAAAACAATCTTCCGATTATCTCTATATCAGTGTTTGGAGTGACACCTAGTGCATGACGTATCAGAAGAAACACGTAATCATATTCAAGTTTCACATGAAGTGGAATCACCGCATGTGCTGGAATTGAGTATGATAGTTGTACTGGCATACGGAATTGAGATAATTCACCACCAAAGAATAAAACTAATTGACATGTATTGTTGTGTTAACCCGCCCTATTCGATTCTTAGCCTGCTTTTGTTTGATGGTTGAGGTGTGAATTTGGAGTGTGTATCGAAGGTTTCGGATTCGTTGTAGTACTCACTAAAACACTTGTTTTTTTTGATTGGCTGTAATAGTCGATATACAAATGGATAGAATTTATAAGCCAAGCAAATATTGTCTATGTTGTCTATCCTAGTAGGATTTGACATATCTGTTCAGGATTCCAAAATCTACAAAATAATATGTACATAACAAGGAATTTAGAAATCCTTGTTATGTACATATTATTTACAAGCTGCTATAAGCTGAACGGTCATGTCACCCTAAGGCCTTACTTTTTTTTTTTTTTTTTTATAATAGCCTGTAACCTTACTTGTGAAGATTTTTAAAAAGTATTAAATGGTACATATATGCTTTCTCTAATAGCATATATTGAATAGTAATATTTATTTTGCTACATAAAAAGGATTTCAAAAATCTTTTTTATGTAGTACATTTGATTTCACACGAAATGTCATCAGATGTCAAAGCCTTGAAACACTACAAAAGAAAAAAAAAAGGTAAAATAAAGTTGTCGTCCCATTGTTCACGACACGCCTTCTAAATTCTGTAGTCTTATGAACTGAATCGTAATATCACCCTGTGTAGTCTATAAATAGACTTTAACGTTATTCATTTTACCATTTCTATCAATCAGAGTTTTCAAGCATCTGACTGAAGATTTTGCTGAAGATTTTCAAAATGGTATGTATCTTCTTTTTCTACATGCACAAATATTGAACAATTGGTAATTTCGGACCTAGCAAATTACTAACCTTTTGTTTGATCGTTAGTCAACCGTTAACTTGGGACCCAATTGATAATTTCGCTATAGTCAAGGAGAATCTGGTCTAGGCTGGTTTCATCTGTACCATATTTGAAGAAGGACACTCCAAGCTTGCTAAATGAGTTTGTACCTGAGATTGTCAATTGTTTATCACATCGAGCTTTAGTTCTTTTCAGGCAGGACTTCATGATCCCTAGAGAATTCCCTTGATATTGTAGTGCTTTTACAGGATCAGCTTGATTGCGTCCCTTACTTTCGCAGATTTCAGTACGAGAGCTGTAGCTCATATATTATGCAGATTACAGCTCCTCTTCTACAGTTGTATATGGAAGCTGTTGATCTCTAAGTCATTTCTGTTGTTGAAACTAAACTTGCTTGGACAGTGCATATAGTTGCAGCTATTGTTAAGAAAAAAAACAACTCAGTGGTTACAGTGGGGAATCACAAGAAATCCATGATGCAGAACTTTCAACATGTGTTCTTCGGTTGATAAATATCACTGATAGTGGTTTGCATACTTAGAGATATGCTGAAACAAACAAACAGAGGCCTGACGCTGCTATTTTCATCTTCTTTCAAATCTTCAAAAAATCATATGTTGGAGACCAAGCAATTCATTCATCTAAGTAGTTATATGCTAAATTGTCTGAACTTCTTGGGCTTCACGATCATATGCTCATTTTAAATGTCATCGTGGGAAAAATTACAACCAACCTTAAATGTTATGGCGAGAGTGATGAAGTTATTGATCAGAGTTTATATCTCATGTTGGAATTGGCTACTGGATATATGACTGCAAAGCTTCTTTTGAAGTTGATTACTACTCAGTTAATAATCTCCAACTGTAGTAGGGAACAATTTCTTTTTTTAAGAGATTATAGAAGTTCACGCAACATAACAACATTCTATTACATATTTGGCTTGTTGATCTTCCTGGAAGACAGCTTTTTGAAGTTTAAAGCATCCATGGATCCACTTCTACAGGTTTTCCTGAGTTTGGAATCAATACCAGACTCATTATTCCGCTCGGATGATGTGAAACATGTTTTAGTTGGATTGATGAGAGATCTTAGAGGAATTGCAATGGCTATTTTGAAATGACACTTGAACATAAGAAGATAGGTGCTACATGGGAGAATGATGTTCAATTCTCCTTAAAAAGCTCAGTATCTACATACATGATCCTTGAGGACAAGGATCCACTGAAGGGGATGGTAATGTCATGGCTATGGCAATTGAAAGGGGAGAAAAGGCAGTACTGGAGGCAAGGATTAGCAGCGGGCAAGCGTTTGAAGAGATCTCCTATTAAAAATATGGAAACGACGGCGTTTAGCAAAAGGAAGTTATCACCGTTATCATTAACCCAGACGGTGTCGTTTGAATGAGAGACGTTATGGAGAAGCTCAGGCGACGACGTTTTGCATCAATAGGGCTGAGCTGTGTTGCGGAGAGTTGCAGAGGATGAAGCCGCATTCTTCTGGAAGAAATAACAAACTCTTGTCCTTTATATTGTAATTTTTGTCAGTTTTTTGGATTATGCTTGTATTGTGTATTGAACACTCTCTCTTATCTCAAAATTCTCTCAGATTCTCTACCTTTCTTCTACTGTTTGTCAAAAGACCCAAAAAGATGTTTTTATTGAGAAACAGTGGTCTTGAAATGTGTATTTCTGATGGGTGGTTGGCAATTCCAAGAGTAAAATGTGTAATTAGGTTCAAAGAATCTAGTATACAATCTAATTAATGCTGTTAACATTGAATTTGAGTCATCCTGTGAAGAGCAGAATGCTCCTGCTAATGATGAAAAAGAAGGATTGCATGAAAATATGTTTCTGCAAAAGTTGCCTCTTTTGAAGAGTTTGGTACATAAAAAGGATATAAATAGTAGTGCAGGGGCTGCTAGTTTAAGTGGAAATAGGGTATATTATAACTTGGAAGAAAGAAATGAAGACATATTATCAAAGAGGATCTTGAAACTTAGCAGATCAAACAAGGTTAAGAGTGCACTAGGACTTTATAAGTCAATGATATTTACCGGTCTTCGACCTAATTTACATGCCTGCAATTCCCTTCTTTCCTGTATCGTGAGGAATGGAAGGCTTGATGTTTATTGGAGATTTTTGAGTTGTTGAAGGAAGGTAACATGACCACTACTCACACTTATAGTTTAATAATTCTAAAGCCAGTTGCTAAAAATTGGGGAGATGATGTTGCATTAAAAATGTTTGAGGATATGAAATGTGGTATAGGATAAGAAATTAATATTGTGGAGTTAAGTTAGTCGTATGTAACATGTATGCAAACAAAGTGGTGTAAGGAATATACTACTGTTTTTCTATTTGAGTGCAGCACCTGGAATAAGTTTTTCTACTCTGTAGTGATTTTTTTTTTCTTTCTTTTCTCTAATATTGCATAAGTTTAAAGTTTGAGGTTCATTTAATATATTTGAGTGTTTATAGCTTTTTACCCAACAACCCCATGGAGGCTTAAGGCATAGGTTGAATGGTTTAAATGCTTTGAAACCCAAACCCCTTGATGCCTTTTCTCTATCTGTCAATGGTTTTCAGAAATTTCACGTCTTTTTTACCAAGCCTTCTTCATTGGTTGCCCAAAAGAACCCAACTTTCCCTGTCTGCAGAGCTGAGGCTGCTGCAGCGGCTGATGGGCAACTGGTTTTTGGAGGAGAGCAGGAGTGATTGTCACCTAAGTTTTTGGGTCTTTAAGAAAATAATACCTCCTGGAATGATTTTGAGAAGTAGAAACAATTTAAAGCTGCTCAAAATTCTTTTGTGGTTTCATCCTGTTGTTAGATTCTAACCATAATCACTGCAATGGAACAGTGTGGTGGGTCTGTAACCATATATTAACAGAGGAATTTTATTGTTTTTGCGCAGTTGGAATAACTTGATACTCATCAATTGCTAATGAAGAAAACTAAAAAAGGAGAATCTAGTCTCTTATTATTTCTTATTCTGTGTATCCTTCACTGCCACAATACTGGTATATATATATATACAACAAGGGAAGCTCTACAGCGTATTCACAACCTTAACTCCCATGTCTATTCACATCCTAAACCTGTTTAACTTCCATGTCTATTCATTTCTAACACTCCCCTCAAGCTGGAACATAGATATTAATCATGCCCAGCTTGTTACAAATATATTCAACCCTGTCCCTACTGAGCCCTTTAGTGAACAAATCAGCTAGTTGATTGCCACTACAAACATGAGTCATAGAGATTAATCCTTGTTGACCTTTTCACGCACGAAATGATAATCTACTTCAATATGCTTGGACCGTTCATGGAACACTGGATTATTCGAAATGTGTATAGCTGCTTGATTATCACACCATAGACGTATAGGCTTCATCACTTCCATACCAATTTCTCTCAAAATATTGTGAACCCAAGTTATCTCACATGTCACATGAGTCATCGCCCTATATTCAGATTCTGCACTTGACCGAGCCACAACAGTTTGTTTCTTGCTTTTCCAAGAAACCAAATTACCTCCGACGAACACACAATGCCTTGTTGTAGACATCCTGTCACTCAACGAGCCTGCCCCAATCAGCATCAGAAAACGCCTCAACTCTCATATGTCAACGATCAGCATATAGAATACCTTTCCCGGGTACATTCTTGAGATACTTTAAAATTCGAACTGCTGCTTCCCAATGAATTCGCGTAGGTGCTTGCATGAACTGACTTACCACACTTACTGGAAAAGCAATATCCAGATGCGTAATGGTGAGGTAGTTCAATTTCCCCACCAACTTCCTATATCTCTCGAGAGAGTTAAAGGCATCCCCCTCACCAGCTACAAGTCTAACACCCTGCTCCATAGGTGTTTCGCATGCTTTTGATCCCAACAACCTAGTATCATCAAGCAAATCTAGCACGTATTTCCTTTGGGAAAGAAATATTCCTTTCCGAGAACGAGCACCTTCGATCCCTAGAAAATACTTCAACACTCCCAAATCTTTTGTGTGAAACCGTTCTTTGAGGAAAGATTTAAGAGCTTCAATCCCTCCTGCATCACTACCTGTGATTACTATATCGTCAACATAAACAACCAGGAGAATTAATGCACCCAACATTAGTATGCTTGAAAAAGACAATATGATCACACATACTCTTCTATATACCAAACTCCATAATCACACTACTAAACCTCCCAAACCAAGCTCATGGAGATTGCTTCAGGCCATATAGAGACTTCTTCATTTACATACTTTCCCAGACTCTCCCTGAGCAACAAACCCAGGGGGTTGCTCCATGTAGACTTCCTCAACCAAATCACCATGCAGAAAAGAATTTTTGACATCTAGCTGATGTAGAGGCCAATGATTAGAAGCAGCTAAGGAAATAAAGATACGAACGGAAGCTAACTTAGCTATAGGTGAGAGAGTTTCTGTATAATTAACACCATAAGTTTGTGTATACCCCTTTGTTACTAGACGAGCTTTAAGTCTAGCTACCGACCCATCAGGGTTCATTTTCACAACATAAACCCACTTGCAACCAACTGCAGTCTTACCGGCCGGGAGGGGTACCAAATCCCAAGTATGATTGTCCTCAAGAGCAATCATCTCCTCCTCCATTGCATGTCTCCACTCATCATGAGCTATAGCCTGACTCAAAGTGTTTGGAACTGACACAGAATCTAAACGTGATACAAAGGTGCGAGATGATATTGGCAAATGATCATAAGACACAAAAGAGGAAATAGGGTTTTGACAACGACATTTACCTTTACGAAGGGCAATGGGAAGATCCAGATCATTTGACGAAGATTCTGGTAAGGAGGAAGTATTCACTTGCGGTTCGAGCGGTGCCACTTCATCTCTCGGCCGCCGAGTATAAACCTGCATAATTTGGGGCCTAAAAACAGACTCGACTGGTATGGTAATAGTATATGTAAGGAAGTCATTATCTGGAGTAGACCCATAGCCAGACGATCCAACATTCCCAGAGAACACCATGTTTTCAAAGAAAGTAACATCAACCGACACTAAATACCGCCCCAAGTCAGGTGAATAACATATATAACCCTTCTGAGTACACGAGTACCTCAGGAATATACACTTAAGTGATTTTGGATCAAGTTTCCTACGCTGAAGACGAACATCTTGGACAAAATAAGTACACCCAAATATTTTTGGTGGGAGATGAAAAAGGGGTTCCGTCAGATACACCAAAGAATAAGGAATTTGACCTTGAAGGACAAACGAAGGCATCCGATTGATAAGAAAACATGCAGTATGAACAACATCAGACCAAAAGACCTTAGGCACTTTCATTTGAAACAAAATTGCCCGGGCTACTTCTAACAAATGACGGTTTAGTGAAAATGGAAACCGAAGCTTACAATTTTGTAAATAAATGTATGGATTTGGAAAAATAAGTATGAATGATGACTTCTTTGGTGCTCCTCGTCTAACACTATCTTGTTTAGTAAAGTTGTTATGGCAGCACTAACAACTACTGGCACTAGTACAGATCTGATCATTTGCTACTGTTGTAAATGACATTTAGCTATTGTTGTACAACAGTCGCAGATACTAGCGTCACAAAAAGCCTCGGACATTACGCGACTGTTGTGAAATAGTCGCGAATTGGGTATTAATTCGCAACTGTTCTTGATGTCAAATAGTCGCGGATTGTATTTTTATTTATTTTTTATTTTCTTTATTCAGTGGTCTTCCGCGACTGTTTTGACATAGAAACAGTCGCGGAATAATTTTTTTTTTAATTATTTAATTTATTTTTGTTAAATTCACTATTTTTTTAAATAATTGTTGTACCTGTTACAGTTAAAGTCCTACACAACACAATTTATCTATCAATACACTACTTTATATCGCCACACTTTAATATCATAGAAACACTACAATACTTTTAACACCAAACAATCATCAATACTTTAACAAAATGCACTTGAACACAATACTATCATCAAAACACAATACTACTTTATATCCTCGATTACACTTTAATATAATAATATCATCAAAACATGCACAAAACAATACTATCATCAAAACAAAACTATTTATCAATAAAACAAAAGTTACACGCACTCCGAAAAGAAGTATTTTGCCCATTGCTCCCGAATCTCATTTATGTCATTGATGGAGTACGGACTATCGCTTTCAAATGCCTACAAAAAAATTTAAGTAATCAAATTTATGTTAATTAATAAAATATAACTTAACTGTACTATACATAGTTGTATTTAAATTCACTTACCTTATTCAAATCATCAATAGATGAATATTTTGTCACGATATCAAACATGTATCACATGACATAATATCCACACTCATAATCTCCAGGTTGTATCGGGCACTACAAAATACATACATATATATATATATATATATATATATATATATATATATATATATTAATTTAAGCAATTTATTGTAATTCATAATATCACACTAATTAAAACTTAAATTCAATTTCTATACATACTTTGAATGGCTTCCAATCGATGTTCTTAATTCGTCCATTCGTAAGAACAGAGCGAAATGCCCTATATTAATTATAAACATACATAAAAATTTATAAATAATATAATAGAAGTTAAAATACTTATATAAATAATAAGATATTTACTTACAAATTAATAGAAGCTTTAATTTCACCAATGTCGCGATCAGAAGGCAAGGGATCCAAGAAACATACGCTTTTTGAGCGCATGCAAATCACCAAAAGTAACCAATGTGATCTACATTTAAAAAACACACATACATATTAAAAATTTAATACCTAATACTTGAAATAATACTAATAAAGTAAAAGAACAATTTTCATACTCTTGATGATATGGTGCTAAAATAAATTGTTTATCTTTGTTCTGCTCCATGACGTGGATGAAATATGATATAACATTGGTGGCATTCCGTTTAAGCATACTGTTGCAAATCTGAGTTGGACAAACAAACCCGATTGACCTAACTTTAAACTGATTGCACAACCGATTAAGAAATATGAAAATTAAGAAATATTTAATAAGAAATTTCAATAAATATAAAAAACATATATATATAAAATACAAGAATAATTTTATTTGTTTAAAAAAAAATTACAATATAAACACTTGTATGATTGAGACGTCTAGCCAATTCATCAGCATCAAATCCTTTATATCTTTCATCATCACAAAAATAGAACTTGTGTTTCTATGATGAAAGATTTCTTCATTCAATCCCAACTCAATATAATCTTTATCAGATGGAAAGCTTTACAACGCATTGACTAAATACTTGTAATTGTCCCCCAAGTGTTGTAAGACATCATCATCAACAAGGGGAGGTCGTGTACCAGTAGCGGATAGATCACCACTTTGGTCTGTTAGTTTCTTATTTTGTTTTGGCAAACTTTACAAATATAAAATAATTGTAATTTTACTAACATTTTAAGAAAACTAACTTAATAACTAAATAAAAGAATGCATACCTCATCTAAAGTCACTAAATGCATAGGCCACTGTACAAAGTTACCAATGACATCTACTATAGTGACATACTGCTGAGAATTAAGTATCCTCATCGACATCAAGAGACTGATCAGAAGGCCACACAAAAAAGGAATAACATAAGCAATTGAATTACTGTTCAATAAGTAATAAAGTATCCAAGATGCCACATAGATTAAGAAACTAAAACACTTTTAAGTTTGCAGTAAATGAAAATGCTGGAGGAAAAGAGTGAAATAACCAACAAATCTACTCCTATTTTTATGGGACCACCCACATAAAAGGAGGACTAAAGACAAGAAAAAATGTACAAATATGATATGGCAAATAACTTCTAATATGCACACAGAAAACAGAATTACTACAAGTTAAGGAGGTTATGGTAACACAAAAGGCTAAAAGCAAAGATTAGGTCCAGGAGGTTATTAATTGAATCCATAGAAGTCATTCCAGTTATGCACTCATTGTTGTTTTATTAGGTTAATTCTGGCTGCTTTATGCTTTAATTTACTACATCAAGATTTGTACATTGTATCTAAACCCTAAACCTAATAAAATTTAAAATAAATAAATAAATAAATGAAGAACAAACCTATGGTGGAGGCCGTGACGGTGGCTATGGCGGGCGGAGACAGTGACGGTGGCTGTGGCGAGCGGAGACGGTAGCTATGGCGGGCGGAGGCGACGGTCGTCGCTAGGGCTCTGGAGATGGCGTTCGCGTCCGCAGCTATGGCGGAGGAAAGGGCATTCGCCGGCTGTGGCGGCGTTCGCCGTTGAAGATGAGTGTGTAGTGTTCGGGCGTTCGTCGGATCGGAGGAGATGGCCGTTCAATTCGCGATTGAATTTTTTTTATTTGTCATTGCTCCTGGCCAGGCTGGGTACGTAGCTAGGGGTTTTAATTGATATTTCGCCACTGTTTCTAGAAGTAACAGTGGCGAAATAAAAAAAGAATTTTAATTATTTTTTTTAAAATAATTTCCGCCACCGTTTCAAAGAGAAACGGTGGCGTTTTATTTTTCTATTTCGCTACTGTTTCAACTAGAAACAATAGCGAAATCCAAAAGCGTTATTTTAAATTTTCAATTTGCACCCGTTACAGCTAAGAACAGTCGCGGATTATTTATCAATTATTACGAAATTGCCACCGCGAATTTTTGAATTAAGAACACACTACTGTTTTTTTTAAAACAGTAGCTAAATGCCAGTCTCCTATGCCCTGTTTTGTACTAGTGTGGATGGATAACCTCGTTCATATGGACGAGAAAAATACGATGAAGTTGACAAGCATTATATGTAATACATTGTACTAGATTGCCGGTTTAGGCGATGGAGTTTATTTTGATTTGTACATCCCAATAACTCATTTATTTTCAAGAATTATTATGTATACATACACGTGTATAGTATGTGTAAATTACTAATTTCTTAAGCTACGGGGTATGAATGAGATGGAATAGTTCTTTTCGGTTTGAGTAATGAGGATGTAACTATCTTAAAACTTATGAGGGAGTGTTTTGTTATTTTAAAAAAATACTAATTTTTCAATTCAAAGCACTACAAGAGAACATGCAGTTCTATTAAAAATAAAGGCTCTGTCTAATAATTTAATTTGCACCTTCATTGTTTTTGTTATTAGATAAAATCTAAATATAATAGAGTAAACTGCAAATACAAAGACAATAATAGAGATACAAGAACATATGAAGAGATTTCTTTAATATTTAAATTTTGCTATAATGATAGATATTTCTATTTATAAAGGTAAGAAACATAATCTCAAAACACCTCTAAAAGATAAAGATAGAAGTCTAGAAGATTTAGAAAATCTATATAATTGAGGTAATTGAGTTCAAATCTATTTGAATTCAAGTTATTGTATTCTATGATTTATAACAACAATAATTCATTAATCATAAACTAGTATTGCACCCGTGCGATGCACGGATTAAATATTTAAAATATTAAAAGTATGATATATTATTATAAACTATTAATGTTATTAAATTTTACATATAAAAACGAAATATGAAATTTTATTTTATTTATTAATTTTTGTTATTTAATAAGTAAGTTGATTTGCTATGATAAGATTATAAATTCAAATATTTATAATTAAAATAAAAATTGATATTTAATTTGGGTAATTACTAAAAATAAAAATTGTATGAAAATTTTAATACAACATAAAACAAAAAACTTAAATGAATTATTATGGGTTAATACTAAATTTTTTACGTATTTATTTTTTGAAAATGAATTAATATATAATTATAGATTTTTATTATAAATATGTAATCTTTTTTGAATGCTACTGGCTCTATTACAATATAGTATCTGTTCATATACGTTCTCAACTTACTAAAACACAAAAAACCATTAACGCCTCCACTAAGGCTTAAACTCATAACTTTCCAAATGAAAGTTCAACCCAGATACTATTAGACCACATAATCTTGATATAAATATGTAATCTAATGCGTTTAAAAATAATAAAAATAAAAGCATGCAATTTAAATTTATAGTTTAGTGGTATCCACTAAAATCTAATATGCCACATGTATGTGCATTCAATAATATCAACATATTAAAATTATTCTAGTATATCACATGTACGTTGTACGGTATTAATTCGATCAATTATATAAGAATATAATCTAATAGTATTAATCGATAGTATATGACATTAACCAAATGATATGAAAATATCATTGTAAGTAAACTCATTTTTTTTTTTGGCAAACAATAAATTCAACATAAAACATGTATATAAAACTATATAATTGAGCTTATATATTGTGATGCACAAATATATTGGTCTTTCAAATATAAAATTACACTTAAAAAAATTTTAAAAATATTTTCTGAAATAAATATATATATCAAATTAATATATATATATATATATATATTTCAATTTCTAATTAATTGGGCCAATCTATCTATATACATATTATTATGTATTATATGTATATTATATAAAATCTAACGTCCAGGCCCAAAGTTGTAGCCCAAACCCGACCCAAATTCCACCATATCGGCTGCGTATATATGTATATAGACACACACACACACACCCAAATACAACCCTAAATCTAACACCCATCCCTCTGCCTTCTTCACGACACTCTTCGCCTCTTATCCTCGCATCGTCTCTCTCTCTGTCTCGCAGCGTCTCCGGCTCTCCACCATCGGCGTCTCCAGCTCTCTGCCCTCGGCGCTCTCAATGCCTCTCTCTGTGTCGCAGCCTCTCTGGTTCCAGTTCTCCTCCCTCGCCGTCTCCGGCTCTAAGCCCGCAACGCTTTCATGCTCGAGGACCCTCTCTTAGCATACTTGTGAGGCAATTCATCGAACAGGTGGTGTGTTTGAACCGCTTCATTGTAAGGTACATGTTCGATTTTTACTGCATTCCTCATTATTCACTCCCCACATAAGAATTAGGGTTAGGGTTTCACCTATTAATTTCTCTTCATTTTTCTCTATGTAATCTTCATTTTTCTCCGTGTAAATAGATTGTGTTTCTTTTGTATACATTTTTTCAAAATTGCAGTATTGAGCTGTATTTGTTTTTTTAATATACGAAATTACAGAAATTACAGAAGGTTTGATAAAAGGAACATTTTTAGGCAATATATATATTATATGCGGCACAAATATTTGATGAAATAGGTATAGATGTTGTCTATTAGTCTATTACATATGTGTCAATTTGCTCATAATTTTCGCAGACAGCCCATATATAATAATTACTGCTACTGCATTCTTTTTAATTTCCAGTCCAAACTGTTAATCTATTATTGGTAATGTGTTATTGGGTGTGTAAATTTCTGAACCATTTAGCATATTCGTTTTTCTCAAAATAAAGTTTATATGGAGGAAAATTGGATTTTAAACAGGCATGAGGTAAACAGATCATTTGACTGCCTTGCATTTGATGTTTTTTTGTTCCTTGGATTTGTCATTTATATGGTTCTGGATAGGTGATTTGGTATTGGATTCTAACCCTCCATCCCTCTCACTGTCTCTATGTATATAGTTAAAAAAGGGAGTATATGTAAACCAACAAATAAAAAAGAGTAAAAATGGCAAGAAATTTTACCAGTATGTGGGTTGATTGGTTAAATTGATTGCAGGTTAATGGGGAAAGTTGCATCTGATAAGTGTCATAAATGGGTTTTCAAGGACCGTACAGAATGGGAGCAGAGTTCATTTGAAGCTGTAAGTACAGTAATGCCAACTTCCTATACTTGTTATCTTTCTAGTTTCAGAAGATTCCATCAATTACCTCATATTGTAGTTTGTGTCTGAAAATTGAGCCTTGTTGTGATGGTTTAGGAAAGTTGATTTCTTGCTGCCAATTATTGACTTGTTGAATGTTCGCATGCTCCTTTTCCTATTCACCATGTATTTGAACGTTCCACTCAGCTTGAGTGCAAGCATGTTCCTTTTCCTATATTCTGATATATTATATATAGCATAAATAGTTTTGTGCCATTTTTTTACTTCCATACATGCTTTAACCTTGGATCTGACTCTCGAATCCTTTTTCTGTTATTTTATAGCTATCTGATGTTGTCCAATCAGCTTCTTGCACACTCAATTTCGTTTTCCTTTTCTTATATTTTGATATATAGCATACTTTTCATTTAAGTGCAATTAACATATAGCTCCATGTGAATATTTGCTTCACTAAGATGCATGAATATGATGAACATAACACACCATAACTAAGAGACAACAATGGAAGATAACTATTTAAGATATGAGCACATTATCATTGAGAATGTAAGAATAGGCATGTACTTACTTGGGTTTGAGTTAAATTGCTATTATGATCATACTTTGCTCTTAATAATTTCAGGTGTCAATGGCAGCAAGAACACGTGGAGATTTATGGAGGTGGTATGCTATTGAAATCCCTGGCAGCAAGAACACTTTGGAAATTTATGGAGGTGGTATGCTATTGAAATCCTTAAAAAGGGTTTCTATTAGCTTTTCTGAGCATGTGTATTCATGCTCAGCTTTGCCTCCCCGAGCCTCTTTTTTCCTGCAAAGAAAATGAGAAACAAATAATGATGTGG